GGAAGAATGGGCCAAAATCACACCTGAGCAATGCATGCGACTAGTTTCTCCATATAGGAGGCGTCTTGAAGTTGCCATTAACAACAAAGGCATTTGTATAAAGTATTACATAAATTTCAGTAAGCGTGTTCAATACTTTATCCTTGGGTCATTCCATTTTATTACACAACATGGCATCACATTACAACTTATTAGTTTTGTTTTATTTGTATGTCATTTCATGTCAACAGCACCTTTAGAAATATATTTACTGAGAAAAATGGTGACGTTCAGTACTTATATACAGTGTATATATATATATATAATGGCTGTCAGTCAATTACAATTTTTAATCTAATTAATTACATGATGTGTCGATTAATTAATCTACATTTGGCTGTGAAAATACCCCCAAAAGATTATTTAATGCTATTTTTGTGTTAATCGAGAAATTATTAAGTAGACATTATAAATAGTAGCTTTAGAAAGGAATATTTTATTTGATTCAACAAACTATGAAACATAAAAGAAGATAATTTGAGAAACATCTGTTTTTTTCCCCATTCATGCAGTGGAAGTCATTGGTAACCAAAACAGCTTTTTTGCCAACATTCTTCAAAATACCTTATTTTATGTTCCACAAAATAAAGTAAGTCATTCAGGTTTGAGTAAATGATGGCATAATTAAAGTTTTTTTTTTTGGGTGAACTATTCCTTTTACATTTTTTCCCCCTATTTTTAATGAAATAATACTCTAAATAAGAAACTAAAACTGCCAGCAGGTGGCAGTAATTGTCTTTATGAGTCTTTTATTCAATTCGTTCAAACGGCTGATTCATTCAGGAATTCAGTAAACGGCTCACTTTATTAATGGGCCTTTGAATCATTGATTCGCCCGATTTGTTCAAAACACGGATTTATTCAGAAACTAAACACCACTGTGTTGCTCAGAGACGCACAACAGTTCTGCTGTGGCTTTATATGTAATATTTTTGTTGGCAAAACAGAGCAAAAACAGACAATATTGTGTTTAAAATACAACACAATATTAACCTCTTATTTACTGAACCGTTGTGTAAAATCACATTTGCAGTCGTGCTATTCGGGACAAACAGCACTCGTGTGATATTACTCTCGCTGCTCGTATGATATCGCTTATCATGTGATATAAATATGAGACAAAAACTCATACAGGAGCATTTTTGTCCCAATATCTTGAATTTTAGGCCATAGTTGCATTTATGAAGTTGTTGCTCTGCATAATATTTGTCAGCAGTCAACGATATGAAATGTAAGATGACGTACTTGTCTGGGGGCGGGGCCAGTGCGTTAACTGAGTAAAAATATTTTAATCACGTTATTTTTTCATAATTAATTAACGCATTAAACTGACAGCCCTAATATATATACACACACATATATATATAAAAAAAACAAGAGGACTGAATAAATTGACTGAAATTCAACAAGGACTGAATAAATTGATCAAAAGTGCCAGTAAAGATATTTATATTACAAAAGATTTCTATTTCAAATAAATGTTATTTTGAACTTTCTATTCATCAAAGAATCCTGAAAAATAAAATGAATCATAGTTTCCACAAAACTATTCGGCAGCACAACTTTTCAACATTGATAATAATCTGAAATATTTCTCAAGCAGCAAAGCAGCATATTACAATGATTTCTGAAGATCATGTGACACTGAAGACTGGAGTAATGATACTGAAAATTCAGCTTTGATCACAGCAATAAATTACATTGAAATGTATATTCACATAAAAAGTTATTATAAGTAAGGAATAACTGAAGACGGGCTGTTGAATTCTTAGAAAATAATGCACACCCAAGGTGATGATGCGGCCACGACGTGAAGCAGAATTCTTATTTTCTAAGAATTCAATGGCCTGGAGTCAATTATTCTGCTTATACTACAGTTACTGCACCTCAAGACATCGATCAGATGATATATGTCAAGGCATTTGTCTGGTTTTTGTCCTTAAAACGCTATTGTTCCGCTGGAACTGCTTCCGCGTTGTACAGATGTCGTAAGATAGAAAAGTGTTTATTACATTTGAAATATGGATATTTTTCTTACAAAAACGCATGGATTCTTTACAGGAGGCCTTTATTCACCCCACGGAGCCATGTGAGGCACTTTTTATTATGGATGCGTGCACTTTATTTAACATCTTTTGGACCGTTGAACAGAAACACCCGCCCACTGCAATGATAGAAGTGCCAGGCCAATTTTTAATATAACTCTGACTGTATTCGTCTGAAAGAAGAAAGTCATATACACCTAGGATGGCTTGAGGGTGAGTAAATAACAGGCTAATTTTATTTTTTGGGTGAACTAACCCTTTAAGAAACACTGTTTACATTCATGCATCCAAAGCAACTTGCAATGTAATCAGCAATTACCCCATCAAGTTCGGTCAGAAATCTTGGTTTAATCTTTGATGTAGCTGACTTTAAAAAATGTAGCTGACTTTCAAAGACCACTATGCAAAAACGGCTCGATCTTGCATGTTTGCATTGTACAACATCAGAAAGATCAGGCCCTTTCTAACGGAGCAAATTGTAAGTCGTTTTGGATAAAAGTGTCTGCTAAATGAATAAATGTAAATGTAATCAGGGTTTCAACATTTCCATTCTCTGGTAATTGACCTTGTATAACTTCACGTCATATACTACTAGTTGAACTGCAGGAAGTGGCTCGGGCAGAACATAGCCAGGGGCTTATCGACAATGAGGCTGTCATAAAAACAATTAGATTGAAATGATTTGGAAAGGCACTTATGTATTGTCCCATTCATCCTCTCAACAAAAACATTCATCTGTGGACGGTAGGTGCTCACAGGGTCCTTTCAATGTTGAGCACCTTGCATATGTGTCTGTTGAGCTACAAATATAAAATAGTCAAGTAAACGGAAAAGATGAAAGGGGTTGATACACACAAGAGCAGAAGTTAAAAAACAACACAACTTACCTTATTGCTAAACTCTGTCCCTTGATTTGTGAAAACTCTTTTCGGTGCCTCAAACTGGTGGACAAATTTTATTAGTAAATCTGTGACCTCTGTGGCAGATTTAGATTTTAAAGAAAAGGCTTGTGGCTACTTTGTCACGTCATCAATTACAGTACCGATTGCCATTGTCTGTCATTGTCAGTTTGCCAATGAGGTCCATCCCAACACACTCAAATGGCTGTTTAACCTAGGAAAATATAATATATAATATCTGGAAAGTGTTACATAATCTCTGCCTAACTGAATAATGTCTGCATGCTTTAGTTTTTATAATTATGAATTATTACATTTTGTGGAAAGGGGGTTGTCATCTTGGCTGCTGTTCACTACATCATGTTCACCATACCCCCGGGATTTTCTTAACTGTGTTTTCCACTGATGCTGCCTTGAAGTGTGAGTTCACCCGCAAATGAAAATAGTCATTATTTACTCGTTCTCATGCCTGTCAGACTTTGTTCCGTGTTTTGTGTGTATTTTTGCTCCCCATGTGCCCTCCTTGCCCATATTTGGTCCTGATTATGTTGATTTAATTCCAGGTGTTCCCCGTTTATTTCCATTGATCCCAGGTGTGTCTCGTCATCCCCTCGTCTTGTCATGTGTTTAAATAGTGTTCCCTGTTTTTAGTTCAGCGTCCGGTATTGTCCATGTCTACATGTGCTACATGAGTTTTACGTGTTTCCATTTTTGTGATTAAAGTTCTCTGGATTGATGTACTCCTCGTCTCCCTCCGTTCCTTGCACCGCACTCCACTCAGTAGTGCAACTGTGACAATGCCGTTCCAAACCCAAGAGGCTTTTGTTAGTTTATTTAACCCTCATGCTTTGTTCTGGTCATTTTGACCCAGAGATTAAACTTACCGACTTTGCTCACGCGAAGCATAACAACTTCCCAAAGTATTTTGATAATTTTTGTACTTGTAAATTAACATTTAATGTAAGGGATGAAATCTTTCTGTTGTCATTTGCATTGCAGCTGCAAGTTCTGCATCAAAATCCACATGCAACTTAAGGATTCAATAGACACTATTGCCTTTATCATAAAACTTTCATGTCTAAATAAATTCAAAATAATTTGTTGATTAAAAAATGGTTTTGCAAACATGTAATTTAACGTTTAACTATACATATTTTAGGACCGTCTCGATCCCCCAGTTAAATTAGAGTACTCAATTAAAAAAAATTAAAAATCATTCATTAGAGTTTACCCATTTTGATCCTCAATATAATACCATAAGCAATACACATTTCATGAACAAGAATCACACACCTAACAGCAATATAACATGGTAAATAATTATTATTATTGTTTTGTCTTGGTGGACTCCGGTTTCTAATAAACTGGTTTTTGCATCTGGTATTTATTAACTGAACTGTTCACTCTTAATAAAGGTACATGAGGAGTAACAACTGAATATATTGTCATATTTTTGCTGTTAGAAAAACTGAGAATTTAACACTGAAATCAATTTGATTCAAGACTAACCATTATCCTTTTCATTCAAGACAGATTTGTTCATTTTCAGTGTATATCTGTTATTCATAGTTATTTGTAATGAGACTTATATAATCACATTTTAGCACAGATTATGTACTGCCATTTTTAATAAAGATAACCTGGGGAAATATTAATTATTAAATATTTTAAACATTTGAATCAAAGATTTATATTCAGAGAGTCAAAATCAACTGTTTTAATCCTACCATAAATGTAATCCTTAAATATAATGCACTTCAACTAAATAAAGCTGAAATTTGATTTATTGCCTTTTATGTTCTGGGGAGAAACTGAGATGAAATAAGAAATGAGAAGTCAGTTTCTGTTAATAAATTAAATAGTTTAATATTTTTGCTAGCTCTGAAATTCATCATTTCCATTAAACCTGTACCGTATTATATTTATTTTCTAATGTAAAATAATATGATTTCAGCGAAAAGACTTTTATTTTGGTGTGGCGTTATGACGTCATAAGGCTACGCCGCGCTCCCGCGTCTTTGATTCGGCTGACAAAGGTGAGTGCTTTTAATAATTTCAAGTGTTTAATTTAATACAACTTATTTAGAGAATTGTATGTAAACTGTGCTTATCCTTTGAATCAGTTTATCTTAACACGAGTTCAGTCACTGGCGAGTACTGATGGAGAAACGGAGCTTTATAAACTCCGAGTCAACTGAATCGATTTCATTGTAAAATGATTCAGTGTTTTGAATTACTCGAATCGGCGCACATTTACGACTCCTGCTGATCAAAACAGTGTAAATAAACAAACAACTGTAATCACAACTTTTACAAACAAACTGCAAACGTTTTCATGAAAGTGGAATCTATTAAATTTAACCATTGAATGCCAGATGTATAACTAAACATTAAATGTATGTATCATTTGTGTTTGTAGTTCTAGTTGTAATTTGTGTCCTTTTATTAATTTTGAATGCTAGTGTTTTTTTTATATATATATATCAAGCTATTTAAGTCCATTAGCTCTCACTCTGACTGGCTCCCTCACTAGTGCGCTGACTACTGAACTAGGGAACTGATTGAGACACACCCAGAGATTTAGTGCATGTCTTTATGCATTTGAAAATGCAGTTTGTATTAGATTTTTTTCTGTTAATTTATTCTCTTAAAAACGCAGATAAATTCAATTGTGACCCAAAGCTGAACTCACTCATTTGATCCTTATTAAAATGTCCAGCTCTGCAGAATACTGAACAATCTAGTGTTAATCTTTTCAGTTATTAAAGGGAACCAATTATGCTCCTTTTTACAAGATATAATATTGGCCTTGGGTGTCCCCAAAATGTGAATTTTCAGCTCAAAATACCCCACAGATCATTTATTATAACAGCTGGAAAAATTCATTTTTTTTGTAGAGTTTTGGAGTGTATCACTTTATATACAATTGAGCTGCATATTCCCGCCCCGTCTCCAAAAGAGGTCGTCGCGTTTACGTCTCTCTGCTTTGCCCCACAGATCATTTATTATAACAGCTGGAAAAATTCATTTTTTTTGTAGTTTTGGAGTGTATCACTTTATATACAATTGAGCTGCATATTCACGCCCCATCTCCAAAAGAGGTCGTCGCGTTTACGTCTCTCTGCTTTACAAACATACCTATAAACAGCCGGTAGAAGAAACATAACTGAGAGCGAGACCACCGGTGTTCAGCCGTACATAAGGGAAGCCAAATGCGCTGAAAATGGGACGAAACGGCGCAATGTTACAGAACTGCGCAAACTAATGTCACAAGCGCAACACCGATCAATTAAAATACTTTAATACCGTACACAAACAAATGTGGTTAAAACGCTAAGCACTATAACGGTATGACATTCACAAAGGAGTCTGGAGTGAAATGATTTGCACAGACAAACGTATTTAGGTAGATTTTGAGGCGCATTACCTTGAAAAATGAAAGTAATCCACTGCGTCCTCAGCAGCTCAGATTTTGGTAGAAAATGAAGACTCTTAGGGTGTTCACACTTGTCACGTTTGGTTCGAATAAAACTAACTGGTGCGATTGCTCTGTTAGTGCGGTTCGTTTGAGTAAAAGTGTGAACGCTGCCATATGAACCCTGGTGCGCACCAAACAAGCGGACCGAGACCACTGAAAAGATGGGTCTCGGTCCGCTTCCAAACGAACTCTGGTGCAGTTAGAATGAAATATGAACGCAACACGGACCAAATACTTCTAAACAAACCAAAAACAGGAAGTAATGATAAGCTGCGATGCTATGCGACATGATTTGACGATGCGGTGTAACCAAAACAAAACGAGCAGAGGGCAAACGAGGAGGTAACGTGCCTTTTATAAGCTCTTTGTGAGTTTGCAGGTGGTGAAAATAAAATCATACACACGCAACAATGAGCGCGCTTATCCAGCAGACGGCATTAGGTGTGTTCGACTTAGTTGAATGCACCTTTTCCTCTTGTTTGGGGTGTTCGGTGAGTTCTGTTACGAAATATACGCCATTCAACCTGACCAATCAGGTTGTGAACGTAAAACGTATCACTATGCCTTTAGGTTCGGTTTCTTTAGGTTCGCTGTCAAAAATGGCAGTGTGAACGCTAAACGAACCAGGACCAAATGCATAATTTCCCTTTTTGGTCCGGACCAAATGAACCAAACTACAAGTGTGAACACACCCTTATGTTCAGTGTTGCGTCCAAACACAGAACACGGGGGTTGCTTGCGAGACATTGTTGACGTTTCAGCTGCTCGAGCACGGAGAAAATGAAGGACAGCGTACAACCGCTGAGGGCAGAAACTATAGCAATGCAGGGCTGTCAATCAACCCCTGTGGCCCGGGCCTACGCAATGTGACGTCACACTGCATGAGAATCAAAACGGCAGGCCTAGTGAGACTGATTTGGTTTAAAATGGATTTAAAAATGAGAAATGGGTGCATTTTTATCATTGTAGGGTGGTTGTGTTCACACACTGCCAACACAATAATGTCCGAATACCATGTAAAAGTGGATTTTGTATAATAGGTATAAAAACTATTTCTGTAAATGCAACAACCAGGTTGTGGATTGCAATCCTAATTGTGAAAAATAATATATAGGTACACCCCTCCATCGAGATCTAAAATGGAGATTTTTGGTCATTTTTCTTTTGGCTTGTCAATTTAATACAATAAACTAGTTTTATATATTTTTGATATAAGACTCTTTTTCTTTTAAAGCTGGGCTCACACTGTGTGATTTTTAATAGTCCTTTACCATTGTTGCTTGTCAGATTGTACGAACATGATGATCATGACACACTGTGGGGTCTCAGCTGTCATTAATGTCAGACTGTACGACAGTGAAGGCGTGTTAAAAACTGGTGCGCGCACGAAGACTGTTTTACATTATCAACCCATATACGTTCAGTGACTGCGAGCTGCATTGCACGCGGGGCTGTAATGTTGGCTATCATGAAAAGTGTGTGAACGGCGGCAATACCGGCGTATTTAAAGAGCAGGTCATATGGTATTTTAAAGTGTCCTAATATTGTGATGGAATCCCCTACAACAGATTTAAATGCATCTAAGGTCAGAAAACATTGTAATTTTCTCAGAATATACATTTAATATTAGAGTCATTTGCCAATGATTTCGAAACGATTCGTTCCAAGCAAGTTCGGAGCAAACCCCTCCCTTCCATAAGCATACTCTGCTCTGATTGGTCAGCTGGCCAAGCCTGTTGTGATTGGCACAGAGAGGAGCCCTTAAGCAAGTTAGCGAGCGCTACCATTGACAAAGCACTTTTGCATAAAACAATAATATAGTGCTCCAATCTGTTGTTATACTAATGACATAAAATACAAAAACACTTGCAATCCGTTCTTATAATAATGACATAAAATACAAAAAGTAGTTTAGCTGCTAAACTGTGAACACTTAAAACAATAATGGTGGATATGTTAGCCGAGTGCTAACATGACTAACTGATGAAACAATACAGTTTGTAAACCAAAATATGTCTACTGTAATGTTTGAAGATTGACAGACTAAAGACGCTCTGTGTCTTCACTTTTAATCAGAACGCAGAACAGCTGTATCAGGCGCAGCAGCCTAACTAACTCGCTCGTCTCTCCCGCATTAACCCTATAACTGCCAGTGCAGCAAAATAAACAGCACTTTCACAATGATTATAAAGTCTGTGTGCTACACTACATTCTTTATTATTAAACGATGTAATTAGAACAACGTCAGTCTACATTAATCGACACATTCTTAGGAAATAGTGGGTTCACAGCGAATTAGAACTACTTCAGTAAGACAGTAATATCGTGCTTTACCTGGAAACCTAAAGCTGCACTATGTATACATCACATATTAGCAAAAAAACTTGATATTTTGAGCACTCTATTGAAAATGTGGGGATTATGCAAATGTGTTACCCAATGACGTATACCGGTAACAGGCAAAAGATTCGAAAATATAACGACTCGTTAAGGCGAATCGACTCTCTTTTGAGAGACAATATCTTTATTTATCATGCACTTTTTTGATTATCAACTTTGCAGATTGTTTTCATTTAAGGATAGCTACGTTATAAACTGCAAAAGAGATATTTTTCAAAATCCCATATGACCTGCTCTTTAAGAAGAATAGTGCAAGCAGCACTACACACCAACATGAAAACAGCAGTGCAACTGGTGTTTATAATAGCAAAGGCAACGTATCAGATGAATTCCGTGAGCGGAAGACGAGAGCACCGGAGTTTAGGGCAGTCTCTAACATTAATTCTGATCATGGCTAGTCTTAAAAAACGAAGACAGTTTGACGTTCATCGTAGGAGAAGTCACAATGCAGGACTGTGCGCCAAAACTTCTGACACTACCAGAATTTCGTTAAAATTTGATTGCAACAGCCATTAATCGGCTGTCGGTGAACATGTCAAACTACCTGTAACGAATTAGTCCACTGAAGGCGAGCGTAGTGAGAACCCAAGTGCAGCTTTATTTAAACAAGGTGAAATCCAAACATCCAAACAATAATGAAGACTAGAGACACACACTTGACATGACATGACATGAACAGACTTGACGAGGCATCAACAGACTAGACTCACCGACAGCAGGTTACAACATTAATACACGACAAAGACTGTGGGAACATGATGGCTACTTATATCAGACAACGAGGGTCACATGACAAGAACAAACCAATGGGAAACAAGACACAGGACTAGGACAACCAATCAGAACATGACACATACACAAGGCAGTAGGACTACCAATCAGAACATGACACATACACAAGGCAGAGATACATGAGGGCAAGGGAAGCATGACACTGACAGCATGAAACAATTACAAAATAAAAGACTTGGAAACATTAACAAGACAAAACCCAAACACCACATTACATATCCCCCCTCTAAGGGCGGCTCCAGACGCCCAAACAAACCAAACCAAAATCCAACAAGTCCAGGAGGGTGGTGGAGTGGAGGCGGAACTGGGGGAGGGACGGAGGGCCAGGCCCATGAAGCGGAACAGGCAGAGCAGGAAGCCATGGCGGAGCAGGCAGAGCGGGGGGCCATGGCGGAGCAGGCAGAATAGGGCAGACTGTGAGTTCATGAACGGCCTCCATGGCCGTGACAGGACAGACAGTGAGTTCAAGAACGGCCTCCATGGCCGTGACAGGGCAGACAGCGAGTTCGTGAATGGCCTCCGTGGCCGTGACAGGGCAGACAATGAGTTTGTGAACGGCCTCCGTGGCCGTGATGTTGCGAATCCATGTGTTTTTGTAAGAAAAATATCCATATTTCAAATGTAATAAACACTTTTCTCTCACTTCCAGTATCTGTCATACACGGAAGCCGTGCTGGGGGATGGCGTAAGACGCGCGGCGTTGTGTGATTAGTGACGAATGCGGAGAGACAGCAAAACAAAACGCCGGTCACGAATTAGAAGTACAAGCCGAAGATTTGCAAAGAAAAATGTTGGAGGCACGAGACTAGCATATCTCAGAGGTGCGCGCGCTGTGCATACGTCATACGCCTTCTGCCGGAACGCCTTCCGCATATGAAAGATAACGGAAGTGAGAGAAAAGTGTTTATTACGTTTGAAATATGGATATTTTTCTTACAAAAACACATGGATTCAGTACAGATTCACCCCCCGGAGCCGTGTGAGGCACGTTTTATTATGTATGCGCGCGCTTTATTTGACGACTTGTGGATTGTTCAACTGCAACACCCGCTGACTGCAATGATAGAGCTTGGAATAGCCAGGACAATTTTTTATATAACTCCGACTGGATTCGTCTGAAAGAAGAAAGTCATATACACCTAGGATGCTTCGAGGGTGAGTAAAACTGATTTTCATTTTTGGGTGTACTATAACCCTTTTCTCTTTCACACTTTTTCCTATTGTGTTGACAGCAAAATGTTAAACGAATTGTATCTTGACAGATGAATAAAAATGTAAAAATACAATTTTTGTACAACCTATTTTTATTTTCTCTGTGATACGTTTTTACTACTGTGTTGACAGCAAAATATTAAACATTGTATCTTCACAAGATGAATAAAATAATAAATCAAATTTTTGTGCATACTACATTTTGTCATCTATCTCTTTCAGTAGTGGAAATTTAAATGTGAGGTTCTGGAAACAAGATTTAAATTTAGCAGGGACGGTCGGGTTGGGAAGAAAATTACTCCAAGAGGACAGTGGGTGAACAAACAGTGAATATGCGGAATATAACCAGGCGGGAGTTTTTGGTTTTTGGATGTTTTTGAAGGAGTTATGGTTGATGTGCCTAACTGGATGGTGAAATTGTGATGAAACTATGGGTTTGCTGGAACCACAAGCAGTTCTGTCTTGGCAAGGTTGAGTTGAAGGTGATGGTCCTTCATTCAGCAAGAAATGTCTGTTAGACAAGCTGAGATGTGAGCAGCTATTGTCGGATCATCAGGATGGAATGAGAGGTAGAGTTGAGTGTCATCAGCACAGTGATATGAAATTATATGTTTCTGAATGACAGAACCTAATGATGCCGTGTACACAGAGAAGAGAAGTGGTCCAGGAACTGAGCCCTGAGGCACCCCAGTAGTTAGATGTTGCGACTTGGACACCTCTCCAATGGCGCTTTTCCACTGCATGGTACGGCTCGGTACGGTTCACTTTTGTGGGGTTTTCCACTGGGTACAGTACCTGGTACTTTTTTTAGTACCACCTCGGTTGAGGTTCCAAGCGAACCGTACCGTTACCAAAACGTGACGTGTAAACTCTGCTGATCACGGATTGGCCGGAGAGAATCGTCACTACCTGCGTCACTGAACTTGCGACACAAACACAACAGAACCGCTAGATTTAAATCAGCACAGCCAGCGAAGGATCGAACGCAACTGTTTTGAACGAGCGCACCTTTTTTTAACAACCAAAAAGTGGTTGTTTCGTAGTTTGTTGAGGAAGTACAGACATTCCTCTCGTTGGTAGCAGAGGAGCGGATCTAGCGAGAGCTTGATAGGGCGACGCAGAATGAAAAAGTTTTTCAGGAGTCGCGGCATAGGTGGTGCAACTATAACGACATGTGAATAATCCCGCCCATTCTAAAGCGATACTAAACTGCAGTGGAAACGCACACCGAGCCGTGCTGTGCCGAGTCGTACCACGCAGTGGAAAAGCGCCACAAGATACCTTGAAGGACCAATCTGAGAGGTAAGACTCAAACCACTGGAGTGAGGTTCCTGAGATGCCCTTTGCCAATAGGGTTGACCGGAGGATCTAGTGGTTAATCATGTCTAAAGCAGTGGACAGATCCAGCAAGATAAGTATTGAAGATTTGGAATCCACTCTTGCCAGTCTTAGGGCTTCAACAACTGAGAGCAAGGCAGTCTCGGTTGAATGTCCACTTCTGAAACCAGACTGGTTGCTGTCGAGGAGGTTGTTCTGTGTGAGAAAGGCAGAGACTTGGTTGAACACAGCTCGTTCAAGTGTTTTTGCAATGAAAGGAAGAAGGGAAACCAGTTAATATGATTCATTAATTAATAATGGGCAATGACTTAGTATGTGGATGCACAAGAGCACTAGCTATTAAATCACGGGAACTTTTATTTTGGCAGAATGCAACGCATTCACAGCACTGCGCATACGCGATTTAGTATTGCATCAGCCGTTACCTGTCTCCAGCGAGAACCAGTTGTAAGATTCTGTGGCAGACAACAGTTATATGATCATTCTTAAGTTCCTTTGAGTGTTTAAAGTTGTGTGCGTCCAGAGAGAAAGTGAGTATTGTAAATTTCACTCATTCACTGTTATTCGAGCTGAGTTAGTTTCGGTTTACTGAATAGAGAATATAAGAGTGATGATATGAAATGGATGATAATGTAAAGTATAGTAGTATTTGAGTTCACATCCAATGTGAAGTGTAGTAACTTTTATGATGTTTAAGCTGTTTATGTTTCATAATACCCTGCTTTGTTGTATTCAAAAGCTATATTGTGTTGATGTTTGGGGGAAGGCAGTAGTTTCTTAGCACTTTATATGTTGTTGTTGTTGTTGTTGTTATTAATGTGAGCATACTGATGTTGTGGATTGTGATAAGAAGCATTGTTTGTTAGAATATATCTTTATTTAATTTGTTGCAGACCACACACACTCGAGTAGCTGACACTTCTAAGGACATAAAGTACAAGACGATACTGCTCTGCACCAGTACTCATGCTCACCTCCTATATGCAAACAAAGAACATTGATTAATGCACCTCGCTACCACCTGGCTCCCCCTCTATTGCATATGCTTGTACCAATAAACCGTTGAACTCGATTTCTTCTCCGCTCTGGTGTTGTAACCCAGGGGTTCTCAAACCTGTCCTGGAGGACCCCTAGCCCTGCAGATTTTGTATGTCTCCCTTATCAGACACACCCAATTCATGTCTTGCAGTCTCTATTAACGAGCTGACGAGTTGAATCGTACGTGTTAGATAAGGGAGACATACAAAATGTGCAGGGCTAAGGGTCCTCCAGGACAGGTTTGAGAACCACTGTTCTAACCGGCACACCCGGACCAACTCCACCTCCTTAGCTCTGACTAGCACCTTACAGTCCTTTGCCCCTCAGCTGCACAGGTTTTAAAGAGACAGCACCGCTTTTAAAATGAAACCTGCTGCAGTCTGTGACATTGATTTAAATCAAAGAACAAAAGAAAAAAGAGAAATCACTCACCACTCTGATTGACTTTTAATAAAGATTAATTTATATTCAATTAATAGTTTATGCATATACAATTTATAGTTTGTGAAGGTTGTTTTAGGTTCACGATGTTTCAAAGCCTATTAAATGTTACAAATAATGTTTTTTTATTATTATACAGCAATAATGTCTGATTAAAAGCTAAAATTGGGAGTAAAATGCATTTAATAAAGACATCAGTAGCAGTATTTGTATAGATGAGACTGGTCGTCATTAATAGTAAGCTACTTGGTAAAAGATGCCTTTAAACTGCATATTTTAAATACACAATATTTGTTGTTTTACATTAATTTGGAGATTCATTGTGAAATTGTTTGTCACATTATTTTTTTTAATTGATTGACAGCACTAGTCTAAATGTTTGATGTCTGTTGCTTTGTGCCATTAAAACTGGTGTTAACTTGTATTTTTCTTATTTCACCTCAGACCTGATGGCGCTGAAACAGCAGAGCCAAGAACTGAATGAAACGAAAGACAAAGATCAAAATGAGAAACATCATGATTTCAAAACTGAAGAAGAATCCATTAGTTGCTCACAGACTGAAAAGACTTCCTCACCAAAAGATAAAAAAACACAAACTACAAACCTTAATTCACACTTAAGAATTCACACTGGAGAGAGCTCTTACACCTGCCAACAGTGTGGAGAAATTTTCAATCGAAAAGAAAGCCTTAAATTCCACATGAAAATTCACATTAAAAAGAAACCGTTAAAATGCTTTCAGTGTGGAAAGAGTTTTACACAGAAATGTCACCTTAATGCCCACATGATCATTCACTCTGGAGAGAGACCTTACACCTGCGAACAGTGTGGGAGAAGTTTCAAACGAAATAGAGATCTTAAGACTCACATGAGAATTCACACTGGAGAGAAACCCTACATATGTAATCAGTGTGGAAAGAGTTTTACACAAAATAGTCAACTTAATGTCCACATGAGAAGTCACACTGGAGAGAGACCTTACACCTGCAAACTGTGTGGGAAGAGTTTTACACGAAATGCAGAACGTAAGACTCACATGATAATTCACACTGGAGAGAGACCTTACACCTGCAAACAGTGTGGGAAGAGTTTTACACAAAATGCAGAACTTAAGACTCACATGAGAATTCACACTAGAGAGAGACCTTACACCTGCAAACAGTGTGGGAAGAGATTGAGATATAAAGAAAGCCTTAATTATCACATGAGGATTCATTCAAGAGAGAACAGTTTTTAATGTCGTCATTGTGGAAATAGTTTAAAAAATGCAAAATTAAGATTCACATGAGAGTTCACACTGGAGAGAAGCCTCACAAGTGTTTTCAGTCTGAGAAGAGTTTCAGAAGTCAAAGCAGCATGACGACATTTGAAAACTTATTCTGGGAAGAAATGTACATTTTCCTCAGAGTGACATGGTTTAGAAAAAGGGGCTATTTCTACAATCATCTGTACATTCATTCTGGAAGACATTCAATTGTGGTCAGAGTAATAAAACATTTTCTTCCATCACACTTGCAGATGCATGTAAAAAAAGTCATGCAAATGTAAGACTGTTTGTGTTCTTTGTTAAAGAGTATGACAAGAAAAAATGCTGTTTGAAATCAAGGCTTTAAAGCTGAAAGTGGTCAACATTTGACTCACCTCCATGATTACTTTTTTTTTAAACTTCACTTGACTTTAATTTCACCTCTTTAATGCTTCACCATAAGTTTTATTGTATTTTATTTTGTGCATTTGTACTCCAGTGACCATACCTGACCGTCTTCTTTGCTGTAGTTTCAAATATTGTATGGTTGCAGTAGATTCCCTGTAATTTCAACTATAGAGGTGTCACTCAATTTCATGTATTGATTCCTCGGAATCAAAATATTAGTCAAAATTCGACCTTTCTGGAAAATGCAACAATGTAATTGAAAGATTATAACTAAATCGACATAAACAGAACAAAATGGCTTGTTTCCATTGAATCTAGGTGGTTTTTTAGCTTATTATTTAGTCAAATCAATTTAAATTTTACGACAGTGTTTTAGTATCACGTAAAAATAAGTCATAATATTTTGACAATAAAATCAAAATGACGAGAATAAAGCCATAGCCAGATGAGATTAAAGTCTTAGCAAGGCCAGTATATTCCATGAATAATGTTAATTCATGTGAAAATTCAACCACCATCTGTGGAGTCCAAACTTTAATTCTTCACATGTATTTAATTAAAAACAGCAATAAAACGTTCTAAAGGTTGAAGTAAGCACCAGCTCCTTAACTTAAGTAATATTGTTGTCTTTTCTGAGGTAAATAACATTTAAGTGATGACTACTCCTCACTTCAAAAAGCTGTTTTATTGACAGTATAATAATTGATTGGAAATTAATCCGCTTTAAAATTCTCTCAATTTTATCACAAAACACAAATTATAATTTTTTTTTTCCTCTTTATTACAAGTTATACAACAATATAAACAAGAAAGAACATAAAAAGAAATTGTTTGTCGTTTCTCCGATCACAAATGCAGACATGGTTTTATGTTCATGCAGCGCGATACGCAATGCAACGCGTAAAAAAACAGTATAAGTCATTATAATCAGTAATAATGTGCCCACTGGATGCAACAAATGCCTCGTTTATAATGGGTTTTATTGTTTTTGCCTTGTCGCGCTGGGACTCTGCATCACAGTATGGTAGGGGCGTTACACAAAATAATGTTCTTTTTAGCAACATCATATGACCCCTTTAAGTTGGAGGTAGAGATACGGGGGACTGGCTTCATTGCATCAGATATATGTAAAGCATACTGTTTCTGTATTCATATACAGTATATATATATATATATATTAAAATCAGTTGCCAGGCTACTAAAACGCCATTATACAATTTAATGTTGTAATATCTGGATAAGTCTACTGATTGTGGAACCGTGGAAAAACCAGGCAACTTTAAATTTAGAAATCAAGAAAAGCATGGAAATATTGTAGTTATGCTCAGCTCTAAAAAAAAAATTTATTAGCACAGTTCATTCTTTGTTGTCTTTTCAGTAGCTTGTATGTATGTATATGTATGTATGTACATACTTTTTCCTTTCATATTATTGGGTGCACTAAGCAACCCGAAGCAGTTTGTCTTCCTTTCTTTTTCTTGTTAATTATATATTAGACAAAGTATTTTAAAGAATTGATTCATCCTCCACACTGTTTGAAGGCTTGCGGGGCTGCTAGAGCTGATCCCGTAACTCGGGCTTAAGGCAGGGAAACAACATGGACAACTGGCCAGTCCATCATAGGGCTAAATGTATTTAAAGGGATAATTCAACCAAAATTTAAAAATTTGCTGTTATTTTTCTTATTACGATCCAAACCCAGATTTACTAACAGCTTGCGCCAGTGCAAACCGTCTTTTGGTGTTAAAATAGTACTGTCAGGATTTCCTAAAGACGCGCAGTGAATAATTAGTGCTGAAAAGGCATGGACACAGTTATTTTTGCGCCTGACCTCTATTGAATATGCATTTGTAGGAGTTTCCCTTTCAGATGCAAAATATATAATAAAGGCCTCCTGTAGTGATGTGCTACACCCCCCAGAGCCATGTGAGGCATGATGTCTTTTGGACTGTAAAAAAAAAAAAAGCACCTACTCCTATTCTAACGCTTGGAAGAGCAGGGATAATTTTTAATATAACTCCAATTGGATTCGTCTGAAAGAAGAAAGTCATATACACCTGATGCCTTGAGGGTGAGTAAAACATGGGCTAATTTTCATTTTTGGGTGAACTAACCATTAAACTATGAATGATCTGTGCCTGTTAATTGCATACTTTTTTTTGGCAAGCACTCTTTACATTCTTTTCTAATTTACTTACCATCTTGTAACTTATTTAACTGAATAAAAAATTACTGAGCACTTTATTAGGTAAGTACTTTATAAGTACGCTGTCTGGTGAGTAAACTAAAAATAGTTAAAACTTTACAATACTGCTTCATTTGTTAACATTAGTTAACTACTTAAGTAACAGTAAAAAAGCCTTCTAAAGTTATTAATCTTGGTTAATTTGAACATTTACTAATACATTATTAAACATACAGGTTCTACATGTTAATAGTAATTATCTAGACCAGTGGTTCCCAAACTTTTTGCAGCGTGCACCCCTTTCTAGTGTTTGACACATGTCAAGCACCCCCACCACCGTACTCCGGTACCACATTTTTTTCTGCAATACAAGTATAATTACAAGTGTTCACTGTATACAGGGCTTGACATTAACTCTTTTGCTCACCAGCCACTGTGGCTAGTGGTTTTCCAAAATTACTAGCCATTCAGCATTTTCACTGGCCACAGTTTTGTTGCTGGAAAATTACATTTTATATGACTAAAGTTACTGCATATTAAAATTTATTTGAATTGATTTCCAGGTCTTTTTTTTTTTGCCTATAAAAAGGGCATTTCCCCCCAACCTTATTAAATGCATGTGTCATCTTTCATATAAAATTCTTACGTTTTATTAATAATTTCACTTAATATAATAAGGCTCTATAGGGCTGTTACCAATCAAATTAAATCAGTATTAACAAAACCAAATTTTCCACGGCTGGAGAAACTGAAGCAGCTGAAGTGGCATTTAGATGCATTTACACAGACAATTTAATGAAGCTGAAATGTAGCATGAATGCATTAACACTGCAAAATTACAACAGCATAAATAATGCTGTGAGCTTGGTGTTTTACATCAGGTTTTTTTATTTACAAATATTAAAAGTTAAAAAATATTAAATATATAATATAAATATAAATATAAATATTAAAAAAATAAAAAAAAAAGTTACTTTTAAACTTGAAAGTAACCCGCCAGCAGGTGGCAGCAAGTTGACTGT